AAGTAGATTGCCCAACCTTCCTTCCGAGGAGTGGCTGGTGGGTTTGAATCGCCAGCCTTCTGGTTAGCAGTCAAGTGCCTTAGGCACTGTGCCACCAGAGCTCCTGGACAACCTAAATATATGTGCAAGTACAATGTGAAAGAAAACACAGCCCTGATAAAAAGTATGATATATATTTTACTTCCTGTATCTCAATTCTTTTGGTAATCCAAAGGTCCAATAATGGGGGCCAATAAATAAAAAACTTCAGAATTTATGAGCTAGTTTAATCTTTACAATTATACTAACAGAAAAATATATCTTAAAAACTGTATCACACATACCCACAAAAAGACACCAACTAAACAAACCACAAGTAAGATCTAGTGCCAATAAAGGGAATCTGTTTTAAATTTGCCAGGATTATGAAACTGTCTAAAAACTCCATGTCTAATTAACACATAATGCAGTTTTCCACTGGGGTCTCAATGATTTTGTTTCAAATGCATGTTCTTCCTTTCTGCCTACTTAAAACTCTGTGCATTTTTGGTGGGAAACATCAACATATACAACAGAAGCTAGAATAGTATCACCCAGATTAAACAGTTAGGAACTCATAAAAAATCTTAATTTCATCTCTACCTCTCCACATTTCCTGTCTTTTAGATTACTTTGAAGTAAATTATAATCATATAATTTTATCAATAAATACTAAAGTAATTCTCTCTAAGGTTGTGGAAAGAGGACTCAAGAATTAATTTCAAGGGGCTCTCACTGGCTAAAGATGGATCAACATGAGCATCAAACAAACAGTATTCTCTGTTGGGCTGTAACATCTTACCACCAGTGCCATCAAGTTGACTTCGCCTAATGGCAACTCCCCATGTGTCAGAGTAAAACTGTGCTCGGTAGGGTTTTCAATGGCTGATTTTTCAGAAGCAGATCAGCAGGCCTTTCTTTCAAGGTGCCTCCAGATAACTCACGTATTGCTGTGATGTCAAAAGCTATGCTACCTCTATTTCAACTACCAGCAGGGTCACCCATGTGGACAAGTTTCAGTGGAGCTTCTCAGACTAAAACAAACTAGGAAGAAGGAGCTAGCAATTTACTTCTGAAAGAACTGGCCAGTGAAAACCTCATGAACAAAACACTGTCTGATCATAATGCCAGAAGATGAGCCTCTCAAGTTGGAAGGCACTCAAAATATGAATGAGTAGAGATGTCTCCTCAAAGTATGTTGTTGCTGTTGTTATGTACCATCGAGTCAGACCTGACTCATAGCGACCCCTCCTTGGGTTGCCGAGGCAGTATCACTATGGAAGTAGAGTGCCCAACCTTCCTTCCAATGAGCGGCTGGTGGGTTTGAACCACCAGCCTTCTGGTCGGCGGCAGTCAAGCGCCTTAGGCACTAGGCTACCAGAGCTCCTGCCTCAAAGTATAGTCAACCTTAATGATATGGATGGAGAAAAATTTTCAGGACCTTCATTTGCTGATGGAGCAAGACTCAAACTGAAAAGAAACAGCTGCAAACATCCATTAATAAGTGGAATGCACAAAGTATGAATTTAGGAAAATTGGAAGTTGTCAGAAATGAAATGAATACGTCAAGATCAGATATCGTAGGTATTAGTGAGCTGAGATGGACTGGTACTGGTCATTTTGATTCAGACAATTATATGGTCTACTATGCCAGGAATGACAAATAAGAGGAACAGCATCTGTGGTAGTTAAATTTGTATGTCAACTTGGCTGGACCTAGGTGAGTGGCTGGGCAGCTGAATGTAGTTATTCCCCATGATGAGACTGGTAATCAAGTCCATGATGGGATCTACCACAAGTAGCTGAGTAGCCTTTGGTATGTGGTCTGCTTCCCGTATATAAGGAGAAATGTTGGTGATAGTCTCTAGCTTATGGCATGCTTGGACCCTGCATGTTGCCGTGTTGTTGTTCAGCAGCCTGCCATGCTCTGCCGACCTTGGGACTTAAAATGGCCTTGAGTTAATGGCCTGCCATGTGGTTTGGTAACATTGGAACTGTGTCATTTTATTTGTCAACCTTGGGCTTATTAGCTCAGCAGCCAGTAGCTGCCTGAGTGAAGAGATGCCTCTAGTTTCGGTGGGCCAGGAGTAAGAGGTAGAGCTGAAGCCCAAGGTTGAGGAGCTCTCACACAGCCCCTAGGGCCTGGCACTTTGAACTCAGACTTCTAGCCTCCAAAATGTGAGAGAATAAACACTCCTGTTTGTTCAAGCCATCCCATTCGTGGTATATTCCTGTCAGAGCAGCACTAGGGAACCAGAACAGCATCACAATTATCATCCAAAAGAACATTTCAATATCTATTCCAAAATACAATACTATCAGTGATAGGATAATGTCCATACACCTATAAGGAAGGAAGACTAGTTAATATGACTATTATTCAAATTTATGCACCAATCACTAATACCAAAAATGAAGAAATTGAGTATTTTCTTACCAACTTCTGCAGTCTGAAATTCATCAAACATGCAATCAGCATTCATTGATAATTATTGGTGACTGGAATGCAAAAGTTGGAAACAAAGAAGGATCAGTAGTTGAAAATATGGCCTTAGTGATATAAACAACACAGGAAATCCCATGATAGAACTGTGAAAGACATGACTCATATCTTTTTCAACAACATAAATAGCAACTACGCACAAGAACCTCGCCAGAAGAAATACACAGCAATCAAATAGCCTATTTCTGTGGAGAGAGGCGATAGAGAAGCTCAATTATCATCAGTCACACTAAGGCCAGAAGCTAACTATGAAACAGACCACCAACTGCTAGTATGCAAGGTCAAGATGAAGTTGAGGAAAATTAAAGCAAGTTCATATGAGTCAAAATATGACCTTGGTTATATCCCACCTGAATTTAGAGACCACCTTAAGAATAGATTTGAGACATCAAACACTAATGACCAAAGACCAGAGGAGTTGTAAGATGACATTAAGGATCTCATACATGAAGAAACCAAAAGATCATTAAGAAAGACAGAAGACCAATAGGATTAAGGAAAGAAAAGACCAATAGGATGTTAGCAGAGACTTTGAAACTTGCTATTGAACAAAGAGTAAAGTACATCGAAGAAATGAAGTAAAAGAGTTGAACAGAAGATTTCAATCGGAAGCTCAAGAAGACAAATTAAAGTATTATCATGAAATGTATAAAGACTGAAGTTAGAAAACCAAAGATGAAGAATATGCTTGGCATTTCTCAAGCTGAAAGAACTAAGAAAAAATTCAAGCCT